GAAAGTGTTCACAAAATTTGTTTGAGAAGTTTTTCATCTAGAATATATTATGAGAACAATGACATGGAAAGAATGAACACCTAATTTTGGAAGCAATAAACTCAACTTCAGACCAGTGTGGATTAAGGGAGCAATTAGAAACAAGCACTGAGATCTGCATATCCTACTTAATTTCAAAATATACCTGAATCCACTACATATTCCTGCCAATAGCTTGATTGAAAACCAACTATCTGAACAATTTACAATTCAAAGAAGATCCTAAAGAAAAAAAAAACTGCAAGCTAGTCATTTAAAACTTCTGCTTCTACCTACCTGCAGGCTTAAAAATGGAATTTTAATGTGAAATTATCGGGTGTTTTTCTTTAAAGCCACACAGATCAGAAGCATGTCAAAAATACCCAAATCAAAACACCCACCATCTGCCCTTCCCTGCTAACCACCCTTTTCCAAAAAAAATACCAAACAACCAAACCAAACCTGAAAAGGCTGGTGCCCTGAAGAATATATGTGTATACTTTGCATGTATCTATATGTATATGGATACGTTTCACCTCTATTGTGGCAAAACAGCTGCCCCGACAACTCACAGCAACAGGAATACTGTGCTGAAAAAAAGGAATTCAAGCCAAAACTAATCTGAGGAGTACATGCTACAAACATTATTTGCTATAAAATATTAACAGGTAATAATTATTTTTGTTGGCTAAACCCACAAAAGGAGTGAATTTTATGCAAGCCTATCCTTGCAGCACTAAATTTTCCATACTTGCATCCATTTTGGGGGGAATGTTCACATGCCAAATGTAACTACGTAAATAATGATGCAGTTTAGTACTGACTGACCACAGCCAAGACAATGGAACTAAAAGGATTTATCAGTACAGGAGAGACAAGCTTCTATTTTCTTTACAGTACTTGTTCCAGATTTTGTAAGGTAAAATGAAACTGTGCAGACAAAGTAAAATGACCACTCAAAGATCACACCTGCCATTTTCAGTTTCAAAATGGTATCTGTGGAAGCACAAAATCCCAGTACAAAATTATCATCTCAGAATGATAATCTCAGTGGGAAATTCTCTGCACTATTACACACCAACACAAACACACCCCCGGTAAGGTAAAGTAAGAATACTGAGAAATGAAAGGTCCATAGGAGAAAAGTTGAATTATGCTTAAACAAAGAATGACGTATATGCTGCTTACTGAGATTCATCTTTCAGAAATGGATAAATATTGTTTTGGTGGACAGGTTTATCATGAGCCAGCAATTCACTCTCTCAAGGGAAAGCATCCTGGGCTGCACCAGGGAAAGCAATGCCAGCAGGCCAAGGGAGTGACACCACCCCTCTGCTGGTGAAGCCACACATGGGGTGCTGCATCCACTTCTGGGCTTCTGGGAGCAAGAAAGATGGACATACTGGAGCAAAACCAGCAAAGGGCCACAGAGGTGCTTAAGGGACCAGACAGGTTCTACGTGAGGTGAGGCTGAGAGAATGGCGTGGAGAAGTGAAGACTCAGGAGGTAACTTATCCATGTGTATAAACACCTGATGGAAAGGTGTAAAGCAAATAAAGCCAGCAGTGCCTACTGACAGCACAAGAGGCAATGGACACAAACTAAAGCACATGAAATTCTACCCAAGATCAAGAAAAAATTTTCCAGACAAAGTGGTCAAATATTGGAACAGGTTGCTCAGGAAGATTGTAGTCTCCATCTTTGGAGATATTCAAAACCCAGCTGGACATCATTCTGTGCAATATATGCACCAGCCAACCCTGCTTAGGCAGCAGGGTTGCTCCAGATCATCTCAAGAAGCTCCTTCCAGCCTCTGTGATTGTCTGGTTGGCTTCTAGAGGTCACAAGTTTGATCCCAAGTGTGAAAGCACAAACCAGATAATAAAAAATATAGATTGTTTCAATAAAATGCAACAGGAATAAAAGCATGATGAAAAGGTTACATGTTGACCTCAGAACTATTTTGACTACTGTATTGCTTAGTGTTTTACACACCATTCAAAAAGTGACTTATCAAGTACCAAAGATTAACACCTCTTACTTGGAACAAGAGAACAGAGCAAGGAAAACAAATCAGCACTCTGCACAGAAGCTAGTATGACTTCTATTTGAACTACAAAGAAGAGTGCAAACAAAAGCCTCTGTCATTCTCTGCTATACTACACTAGGAGAACAGAGATTGTTTTCCTTAGCCACAACTCTCAAATAAATTCATTTCTGCAAACCTAAAGCAAAAGAAGTAGTCTTCTCCTGGAAGGAAGGCCAAGAGAAGCCAGAAATCCACACAAGCCATTAACCAAAGCCATCATAATGCTGAGAGGGTGGCATAGAAAACACAATCATATGAATACACACATAAACTTATATTTTAAGTGTGTAGCCAAACAGGGGGTTTCAACTGAGTTTTTATTATAATTCTTTCAAGAAAAGGGAGACAAGGAACCTCCCGTTAGGCACATTCCTTCAAGAGCTCACAGCTCGTGACTCCATGACTCAGGACTTTCCAGCTCCTTACCACCACTACAACTGCTTCGGGTTTATTCAGTTGAACCTAACGAAACTCAGATTTCTGCTAAGGAAAAGAGAAATTTATTCTACAAGCAGAACTTTGCCTTTCTATTTAATGTCCTCTCAACTACATACTTCAAATCCCCATGGTCATTTCACTTATAGAAACACCTCAGCCCAAGGAAAGAGGAAAGCAAGATCGCCAGGGGGTGGAATTCTGTCTCCTGTGATCTTCTGTTTGTAAATTATTAAACCTTGCCTGTCACTTCTGCTGACGTTGTACCTCATTACAACAGGACGCCAGTGAAATGTAGAGCAGCCATTACTCTCTCCTAGCAACAAAGGCAGCAGTTAAATAGCACGTGCTGTGCTTAACCCAGACCAGGTAACAAAACTCCCTGAAAATAAGTGCATCACACTTGACAAGATGAATTGTACTTGTGTAATAGTATTTCAAACTAAAAATAGGGAAAGGAACATGAAATTTTCTGAACTGACACTTTAGAACTGATTGTAGACATTTATTCCCCGTCCAGATTTTTTTTATTTTAGAAAAATTGAAAGGCAAAGCTATTAAAAGAGACAGAAACAGCAAAATGTCATTTTGATCTCAAACTAGGTGACCTAGCAAGATATCACTGCTAGATTTTAGTTCTTGCTCTTTTTGTCTCAGATATCATGTAAGAATGCAAAGTCAGAAAGGAATGTAGAAGCACCCAGACTCCTATAGCAAGAACACAGGCAGTTAAGAGTTCAAACATCCCACAGAATGCGTTTTAAAGAGCACAAAGAGTTGGTGTAAATGTTCTTGCAGTAGTCTAAGGCAACATCTCCAGGCATATCAGCAAATCCACTTAGAAGAGAATTCATCCCATGACCCAATTACAACACAGTTTTATTTTGGAGATCACTCAGCTGTGCCTCATCAACAAAACAAGAGTCTGGAGCTATCCCAGTGCAAGTCTGGTTGCAGAAAGCTTTCACACATAGCAAGTCATAATTATGTTAAGTCAGCACATTTTCCACTCCTACAAATGCCACACCATGATTAAAAAAAAAAAAAAAACAGAAGAGAAAGGTAATGGCTCTCTATTAAAAAAACTGGGTCACCAGTCACCTAAATTCTAGGTGGTAAGAGATGGGGAAAAGAGCTAACTAGAAACTAAAGAGATAATTCAAACAAGGTTCAACTTTAGGATGCCTCTTTGCAATTGCTGTTACTAAGTGAATCTCAAATTGTATTCAGAAATGTTAGTCACACATTGTTCCCTTTTCTCTCTTGCCACTGCTGTCTACATCACAAGTGAGGTGACTCCTTCATTCACATTAACAGCAGCAGCACCAAATTGCAAAAGGCTTTCTTTTCAGTTGAATCTGTACTCCAAGGAGTACATATCAATCACACTTAGAAAAGACTTCCAGGTTTATCTCACTTCAGACAGATTTCTTCATTATAATGTTTAGAGCTGAACAGGGTGAAGCAAACAGACTATTAAGCCAATTCTCGTTCATCCAAGGATAAGATTTACAGAATTGTAAGTCCTGGAATTTAACAAACATTGCTTGTTAATTTTAGGAATGTCACTGGTGGCTAAATAAAAATGCCCAAATATTAACAGAGATGCTGAAAGGCTTTTAAAAGGAATTTTAAACTTACCTGTCTTCTCTGGTTTACAAGTATAGCTAAAATAATTAGCAAAGTATTTTGTCTTTTTTCTCCTCAAAATCAAAATTATGTTGCATTTATACAAAATACTCAAGCCCAGCAGGCACACTCCTGACAACCTCAACTACATTCAAGTTTTTAAAATGTGGAAAGGGCTTTTGGCCAGACAACAGTACCACTTTTGAAGTTTTCAACTTCTCTTAATCCATGGGCTCTTAATATTTCGGAAATTGAGCTTATTGGCAACAGGCTGTTTTTCTTCATTAACTTTGGGAGACACTGAGGAAATATCCCAGAGTTCCAGAGTTCAGAAACTGAAAGTCAATAACTGATGCATGTCTGGACCCCAAGGAAGCATCCAAATGAGGGCAGGACCGCTGTAGCTGACATCCAGTTTTGTAGTCTCTGTAGACTCAGTCAAGACTTTTGCCCCTTCAAAATCCTGCTCCTCTTATATGATGGCATCTGCAAGTCAGAAGCTGAAGCATATTTGGAATGCAGCATGTGGGAAGCTCTAAGTATTCCTGTACACTGTGTGGTTACCATGCAAAAGGGCAAAGTCCATTGGTCTCTGAGATTCTAAAATACATACATGCCATAAGAAACAAGTTTCCTTCACAATATTTCAAAAGGTTAAAATAAATTAGAATTACTTTTACCTGAGTGTTTCTACGCTAGTAATTTCATGGTAAGTCTCCAAATGGACTTTCCCAAATAAGAGAGACAGTCTAGCTCTTACCAAAACCATAAAATAGCAATATCAAGCTTATCATTTTCTAAAGCATTAAGACAGTTGTGCCATGTTTACCTGAAAGCCAAACTTTAAAATGAAGTTGAGCAATTCCAGATGCAGCCGGTTCCAGTGGAAGAAAGGCTAACACAACACAGTATTTGCAAGTGACAGCCTGTAGAAGGCTCAAATCCAAGATCTCTGCTGTCTATCCATCATCAGGTATCCCACAGCACACTTACAAAACAATATGCATTACATTTTTGACTGGTAATATTCGACTCCGCCCATCAGAGATAAAATACTTCCAATATCTTTATGTGTATTTTTCACATTGTTCAATAGTAAAAGCATGCCACCCCTGGGAGAAAAAATGGAAAAAAAAAAAAAAAAGTAAAAAAAAAAGCTGCCAACCAGTTTTCAGATGCAGCTTTGTTAAGCTTTACCTGTAGGATCTTCATTGCCATGAAGTGCCAATTATTACGTATCACATTTACCTTTCCATAAGATCCACTGTTTGGACAACTGACAATTATTTTACCAAACAAGAATTCTAGTAACCAGATTAACAACTCCTGGATAATTTTACTATTTTCGTCTAAGAACACAGACATTTCTCTTCCTCAAATTTATTACAATGCTGATGAAGGCTTCAGAAAAACAAAAACCTCTAAAAATAACATGCCTTACAGGTCTATTTTAAAGCTATGTACTTTTCTTTAGGTTTGTATATTCTAGTTTTCTTACCTTAAGCATGGGGACTAAGAAAGCTAAAGAAATGGATGTTTCTGTAATAAACTGGGATGGGAGGGAAGCAGCTATCCCATGACCAGCCATTATTGTCAGACTGTTTCTGGGGGGCACCCATAAAAGCACATGAGACAAGTTTCTCAGCAGAGAGAAATTATGGCAGTAGAACGGTTATCAGAAGAGCAGCATTATTTCCTGTAGCGTCAACTTTGTCAAACGTCTACTGTGCAGGGAAATTTACACATATCTGGACATCATTTCCTTAAAAATTGTTTCCAGAACTGCTAGACAACCCAAGGCCTTTCAAGTCTGCACAAAGAAGTAATCTAATGTTCCATAGCATATCTGGTGGATCGAAGCAATTACAGGACCGTTTGAAACTCTATTGTTGCTTTTCATCCTCCTTAAATTACCAAATGCAACAATGTATGTAATAGAAAATACTGTTTCTCTTCTACACTGTGTTCATTATCATTTCACTCCCCAAAGATTAGGTTTCTCTCTTTACTTGCTTTACTTCTTCCTATCCAAACAGAGGCACAAAGACAGATTTTCCTGGGTTTTTTGCAATCACACCAATTCTGCCAAAACCCATTTTCTCTGCCTGCCAGTACACCCACATGTAATTTCAAATAATTTCTATTTTGAGCTACTTAAGTGCCACAAGCATAAAGTCTTTCCAAAACCGCTTCTCCATAGTTCACAGCTCTTTTTCCTATTACATCAGTCGAGTTCATTTCAGTTATTCCCCCTTTTTTCCTTGCAAAGGCACAACCAGTGATACTAAATACCCAGACAGCTTCATTAGGAGGAGCAGAGGGGCTGAATAACACGGCTGAATAACACGCTTCACAGCAGCGCCCAGAAACCAAGCGTGGACCGAGACACCACGAAACCGGTTTAATCTAAAAGCATTCAGATGATGTACACCAACGTTGAAGAACGAAGCACATAAAACACACCCGCACATAAAGCAGCGGAGCGGCTGCCGCCCGCCAGCGGGACGCGGGTGTCACCGGAGCAGCGCCGACCCGCGTGGCCGCTGCCGTGCGACTCCGCCCGCCCGGGCCCCGCTGCGACCGCTCATCCCGGCACCGGGCGCCGCTGCCACGAGAGGCAGCCCCGGCCCAGGCCTGCTCGGCCCCGGGGACGCTGCCGCCCCAGCCCCGCTCACCTGTGGGCGGCGGGACCGCCGGGTCCCCCCGCTCCGTCCATCGCGGCCCCGCCGTTGCTATGGGCCCCCGCCCGCCGCTGCCCTTAGCAACGGCGCGCGGCACTGAGGCGCGCCTCCATTGGCCGGGGCCGCGAGCACGCCGCCCGCCGATTGGCCGCGGCGCCGCGCACGCGCGGCGGAACGCAAGGGCCGCCCCCGTCCCTCGGTGCGGGAGCCGCCCGCCGCCTCCGCCGGGAGCGGGGAACAGTCCCGGCGGGAACCGCGCGGGGCACGGAGCCCTGCCAAACACACTTCCCCACTGAAGACCTCCCCTAAAGACCCCACCTCCCCCCTCCCCGTCGCCAAGACCCTCCCCCGCGCCCGCCCCGGCGTTTCTCGGAGGCTCTGCCAGGCGCTGTAGAGGGCCTGTCCGAATCACGTCCCCTGTGGAGCCCCGAAGGGCCGGCCTCTGTTCGGGCGTGTCCCTGCGCGCAGCGGCGGCGGCTCCCGCCGGGTCAGGTGTGCGCCTGCCTCCTCCAGAGCTCCATGTTTGCCTTCACCAGGATGTCCGCAGCGCTCAGCTTGCCCTGCTGCCGCAGGTACTTCATTACGTGCGGCCGCCGTCTCCAGGTGACCTTGAGGCCGTACTCGTGCTCGGGAGTGTCTGTAACCAGTACTGCTGCCGCCTCCCCTCTCCCACAGGGATCAACACCCAACGGCAACTCTTCTTCTGGATGCCAGGCATGACTGCTTTGGGATACAGTGTTGCTGCATCTCCCATTCCTTGGGGAAGGAACACGTGCAGCGTCTGCATCTGATGGACTAGGGATTTCTTGATCCACAGGCTGGGGAGCAAGCTCTCCACAGTTCTCTGGACTCTTCACCTGGATGTTGGTGTTTGCTGCTGTGCCTTTCTTAGCCTGGTTGGGAGAGCACTGCGCGTTCTTTCTCAAGCAATTTGGATCATCCAGCGGAGGGACTGCATGTCCTTCTGGATTCTCAAAAGTTAAAGGAGGAAATCTGCAGGCTACAGCTCCTCGACAAGCTTCTGCATGAAATGAACTGTGGTTAGCATCCTGATTATAGGGCTTGTGAGGACCACGAGGCTTCTTCTGGCATGCTTTCCGCACCACTGGCTTAGTTGTGTCAAATTGTGGGCATACCTGAGGGGAAAGACATAATAAGATAAAAAACACAACCCTTTCCTACAGACAATTCTACTTCCCCACCTTTATTGAATGTCTTTATTGAGTAATCTGTTCTGCAGCAAAGCAAATGAGTCACTAAGAAAGCTGCTATACATGAGATACCTCTGAACTTCAACACCGTATTCTGCCACTTTTCTCTGGAAAGTCAGGGGGGTGCAAGTGAGCTGCTTTCTGGCAACTCACAAAGAACTCAAGATTGGGGTTTTAAAGGAAATTTAAGTGGTGTCTACTCCTGTAACCCCTGCAGATTTAAAGTTCAGAATGGATCATTTTTCTTTCTGTATCTTAGCATAACTCAAACAGATCCAAAGAACTAAATCCTCAGCCTCCCCAGAGAAGGAGAGGCTGACCTGGGACAGCAACACAAAATGATTGAAGAATGCCCACTTAGCTCAATCCCCTTAGATATGCTAATATGGTGTTCAAAATCTTCCATTAAACATCTTTGTTTCAAAACAGAGTTAATTTCTGTATTGTGGAGTAACAGATCACCCAAAATCCACTTCTACAATCAACCTCCTGTAGAAAAGATGGTCCAAGCTCAACAATCTGTATTTCTTTGAATTATTCTGGACTCAGACCCTGGAAATCCTTTTATTACTGTGTTCTTTGTCTTCCTGGTTGTCAACAAAAGAGTCTGACTCTGTTTCAGATTCCAGTTTGCTTTTCCCAAGAGCACACCAAACTGAGTTCTTGCTACGGTAACGACAGATCTCTTTCAGCATTCCTAAGTTCCTATACAGTTCCTCAAAACACTGAGTGCAATTTAACTAAGGATGGTGATTGTCTGATGTACAGCTGAACTGTTTGAATCCAAAGCCATTGTACAGGAAAAGAGAAACGATTCTGTAATAATTGTATACCAGCACATACTTAACATAGTCCCTGATTTTAAGGATGTGTCTTCCTCGCTTCAGAGAACATGTAGGGTAGGTTTTACCTATGCAGGAACCTAGCAGTGGAAAAGGTATGAAAAACTCAGATAATGCCAAAAAGAGAGGAGCAGAAAACCAGTTTCCACTTAAACAAGTTGACAGACACTCTGCAGAGGATGCCTCCAGAAGTTACAAACCTACCACAGTTTCCAAACTGAGAAATATTTAACAGTTTCAGTACTGAGAGCTTCAAACAAATTTTAGAATACTTGTATTTTAGGAATCAAAGAGCTACCAGAGTGGATGTTTCCACCTCTTCCAAACAAAATGAATGCTTATTCACAGCAGTTATTTTACTTAGTGATTCACAAACCATAGAGCTAACTGCCTCAGCAGATACAAAAAAAATTTAAAGAGGAAATAACTGAAGATGTTCTACTTCAAGGTTAAGGCATCACAAAAATACCTGCAGGTCAACAGGAACAAAGGAATGTTTCATGCAGGTCTGAAATCACACTTCGTGAGCTTGCTTTGTGAAGAGCAGAGCCAAGCAGCAATAATGTTTAAACAGAGCTCCCCTAGGTGATGACTACTGTTGCACAGGAACAGTCTGTCTTTGCTGCAGCTGCTTGCTTAAAAAGAAATAAATCTTTACATTACAGAATCTGAGCAGCATTTTAGGACATGGCAAACAGTCCCAAGAAAAGAACCCATCAGAAAATTGGTATGGAGATAAACTACTCAAAACAGAAATGGAAAAGAGGGCAAGTTAGAACAAATCATTCTGAAGTGGAAACCTATGTTCTCTAAATTTAGCAGTGTCAGATTTAAACAATACACCCAGTACTTCAACATGTAACATTGAGAGTTCAGCAGTTATTTCAAACAGCAAGACAATAAGAAAAATCTCCCCTAAGGTTTATTTCATGCAGGGTTTTTGGTTGCCAAGGAAAACAGTGTTTTCCTGATGGGAATAATTTTTCTAGAAGACAAATATTCATTAATCAGTAAACACTGCACACAGTTGATGTCTTCAAGTAACCAAGACCTTAGTGCTTATTCTTAGAATGCAAAGCAACTCAAGCACTTACTTATGCTTTAGACTGATAGAGGGAATTCAGGTCTGGGGGAATAATTTTCCATATTCAGAAGAGAAACTTTCTGTTAAGACATACAAGAGAAACTTGAAAACTGCTGCTGTGGGATGCAGGAGGAAAGATAATTTGTACCAACCCAGGCAGCAGAGGTGTTCAGCTCCACAGGTTTTGTAGGCACACGTCTGGGATTCTCAGCCAAATGCAGTGGAGCTTCATAACAATGGATGGGTCCTGCCCGTGGCTTCTCAAGGAAAATCAGCTCTGCCTTCCTGGCCTTGTGGGTGCACTTCTTCTTCGGAGGCATCAAAAGGTGTGGTGAAACCACTTAGAAACCTCATGATGCTTGTTGGAGCCAATTGAAGAAAGAAGGAAGCACCCCGAGGAGATGCTAAAACACTCTTGAATCTCTAGAAGGCAAATAAATGGATTTGAAGACAGACTTGTTTGGAAACCTCAGATGCAGTTTTTAACAAAAGCAAAACATTTATGCAACAGCACAGCGCACACATCTCAAGGCAGACTTTTTCCCAACAGTAGTTCTTGAACCTTTTGTCAATTTTCAGGTAGATTTAGAAATGCACTGCAGGAATGGGAGCAGATGACCTACTGATCCAGTTATGTCAAGTCAGCTATGAAAAGAAAAAAAAAAATCAAAAACTGATTTTCTTTTTTTTTTTTTATTTCAGTCTTGTTTGTAATGCCAAGAAGATATTATAAGGCTTAGATAATCAGAACTCTTTCCCTTTCTGGTTGCTAACTACCTGTACATTTTAATTTCAAGGGACTTTAAGTTTGTTGTTTGTGTTTTTTGTATTTTTTTTTTCACAAAACACAGTTGACATCTCCCTCCTGTATTCTACAGATCTTACATGATTTGTTTGTTTGTTTTGCCTAATGAATAAGTTTGAACTGAAGTAACATTGTATTTAATATTCTGTTGGAAAACACATCACAGAACAAATTAGGTTGCAAGACCTCTGAGATCATCACATCAACCCATAGCCACACACCACCATGGCAACTAGACCGTGGCACTAAGTGCTACACCTTCAGGGACAGTGACTCCACCTCCCTGGGTAGCCCATTCCAATGTCTCATCATCCTTCCTGTGAAGAATTTCTTCCTAATGCCCAACTTAAGCCTCCCCTGGGGGAGCTTAGGACGATATCCCCTTGTTCCATTACTAGGTGCCTGGCAGGAAAGGCCAATCCCCACCTGGCTGCACCCTCCTTCCAGGCAGTTGTAGGGAGCAATAAGGTCCCCCTGAGCCTTCTTTTCTCCAGGCTGGGCACCCCCAGCTCCCTCAGCCACTCCTCATGGACTGGTGCTCCAGACCAGCTCTGCTGTCCTTCTCAGGGCCCACTCCAGCACTCAGTGTCCTTCCTGAAGAGAGGGGCCCGGAGCTGGACACGGCACCCCGAGCGCCCCAGCAGTGCCGAGTAGACGGGAACGATCCCTGCCCCGGTCCTGCTGCCCCCGCTACTGCTGACACGGGCCAGGTGCCATTGGCCTTCCCGGCCACCTGGGAACACTGACGGCTCGTGTTCACCCAACCTGACTTACCATAGATCGGCACACACAAGGAAAATTGGTAACATTTCACGAGAAGGGCATGAGACTGCAACAGCCTGACTGCTTACCTAAGTGGCAGCGTGCTCTCAGGGCGTCCTGCGGGCCCCGCTAGCCCGCTGCAGCCACCACACACACGTTAAACGGTAAAACCCCGTAGCTCTTCACCAGGAGTCAGCGCACAGCCGGCTGCCCGGGTGCCCGGCAGGGCTCCGAGCCGCGGGCAGCACGGTTGAAGGAAGTTGCCGACACTGCCCCAGCGGGGCGGGAGCAGCCGTCCCGGTACGAGGGCGGGCGGGACAATGCGATCCCGGCAGCGGCCCGGGCTCCGTCCCGCCCGCACATACGTATCCCCCGCCGGCGCCGCCGATTGGCCCTGTGCGCCGATTGGTCCGGCCCGGCTGGCCCCGCCCCCGCCGCCGCTCACTGGCGCAGGCCGGCACGTGACCGGGCCAGCGCTGCGCCGGGCGCCAAATTCAAACCGGGCCCGCTGCGGGAGCGCTGGGGCTGCGCTGGGCACTCGGCCCTGCCCCGGCCCTGCCCCGGCCCGCAGCTGGTGAGTCGCCACCGGTGCCCGCCACCATCCTCCGGGGCCCCTGGCAGGGGTCGGCACCCCTCGGAGGGCCGCGCTAAGGCCACCGCGCGGGCGGGAGAGGGCAGCGCCTAGGCCCGGGCGGGGCGGAAGGCCCCGCGGGAGCAGGTGAGCTTGCTGGCCAGGGCGGCAGCGCACGGGCTGGGGCTGGGGCGGGTGAAGAAGGAGCTGGGAGCGTTCGGCGCTGCCCTCCCTGCCCCCTCGGGGCCGCGCGTACACGGCGGTGCCCCCGGGTCTGTACGGGGGTAGCAGATCGGGGCCTCCCTGGGAAGTGCTCACAGGAATGCAGCCTGTGGGAGGCTGGCTCCGGTTCTTCCTTTGGCGCTGCGTCTCCTTAAGGGGGTGGAGCGGATGCAAAGGGCCATGCTTGTGCCGGCTGCCAGAGCCCGCGTGGAGTGATCGCTGGCCTGTGTGCTCCCTGTACGTAGGGCATCAGCTCGACTTGTTATCTGCTCACTCTGCTTTCTATCAGTGTAAATTCTCTTACTGAGAATTTACTCGTTTTCTTGCTGACCCCGTCAAATCCACCAATGCAAAAGGCCTCCTTTTTTGTTATTTGTTTCTATTCTGCTTGCCACCTCTAATGATAAACAATAAGTACAATTTGTATATTGTTCTGGTATAGCTTGCAGAAAGGCACAGGGTCCACTGAATTCCTGATGGCATTATTAGCAGTATTCTTACAGCATCTTACCCTGGAAGCAGTATCTCTGAATTTTATTTCCTCTGCTTCCAACTTTATAGTCTAAACCACCTGTTGTCCAAAAGTTTTACATCTAAATTGTATGCTGCCCAATGACGAATTTATGTGGTTCTTAACAAATCTACGAAAGGAATTAGAAGCACATTTACTTGGTGTCTGGCTTAAAACACCTTACTTCTGCTGCATTTATTGTGTGTATACCTTACACATTTATTGTGTGCCTTTGTAGTGTTCAGGCTAATCTCTGATTCTCAGATCTTAAACCATCTGTAAATTCCCTTTTCATGTAGGTTATGTAATCTGCTGCTTAGAGCAATCAGCTCTAAGAATCAGCATTGGTATTTCTATATTCTATCTCCCCTCCAGCTTGCTGGCTGATTCTGGTTAAGTCACACTATAGCCAAGTCTTTTTGTAAAGCACATACACAGGTTGCTCATTATTATGTACTTTATGATGCAAGTTATCCACTCTGCAAATCTCCCATCCTGCTTACACAAGGGTTAGAAGGTAGAGTATGATTTTTCAGTAGCCTTGTCAGTCTTATTAAATGCTTTCAATTTTAATTTTCCTTTTGTGTTTCTAGCTTTGTAGCAACTGCTGAGAATGTGTGCTCTGTGGGAGGTCTTGAGATGATTTGCTGTGCCCTTTATGTTGTACCTTTTGTTTTGCAGGATTTGTTCCTCTCCCTTTCAATGGAGAGTGACAGTATAGATCAATAATGAGGACCAGCCCTCGCAGGCCCTTAATTCTCAAAAGACGAAAACTGACCCTCCCACAGAACGATGAATCCAGTACTTCAGCAAGAGATGAGAACAGAGGTCAGGATGAAAAGGCTCCTAAGCAGGAGCACAGGCAGGAAGACCAACACAACAGACAACCCAGAGACAAAAGGGACAGTGGCCTGCAGAAATTCCCAGCAGGAATAAAGATAATTGACCACCCTACAATGCCCAACACACAGGTGGTGGCCATCCCTACAAATGCTGATATCCAGAGCATCATAGAGGCATTGACAGCAAAAGGAAAAGAGTGTGGCAACAATGGCCCAAACAAGTTCATTCTCATTAGCAGTGGGGGCACATCCCGTTCAGCAGGTCCAGCACCATCGCAGCATCTCCCATCAGAGAAGAAAGCCAGTGCAGCCATCAAGGCTGCAGTTAGTCAACAAAGAGAGAAGAATGTTGCACAGACACCTGGTCATTCAGGCAGTACAGCGCTCTGGCATTCAGGAGCTGATCCTGTGGTTGGACAGGAGCAGGAGACCAACAGTATGTAGCCTTTACCTGTTTTGGTTTTTTTGGTTTTTTTTTTGTCCTGACAGACAAGGAGATGTGAAATGGGCCAAGGAGTGCAGCACTTACTTCTTGATTTGCAGTAATTATTAATATTTTGTTAATTACAAAATACCTATTGATTAGATTCTAATAATCTACATAGCTTTGCATATGTAGTGAAATCTAAAGGATTATAGTGGACATATTTTTTTTTATAGAAAACATCTGAGCTTCTGACTTAAGTTTTGTGCTGTCTTTCTCTTTCTTGAAGTACTAGATGAACATTGTCCTGTTTTGGTTGACAATAGTCTGGTTTGAGTGTTTGTTTTTAAGACTGCAGCTCTTTTCAGAATTTGGGCAACTACACATGAAATCAGGAATTCAAGGTGAATTCCTTCCACAATATTAGTGTTACAATACCATCTTTTAGAAGTGTGACTGGTGCCTTCCTTTTGGCAGCTGAGATGGAGGGGTAGCAGGGTTACTTGTGAGAAAGCAGGGTTATGACAAGGGGAAGGCTGTGCCTGTATCCTAGCTGGGCTTCAGTAAAGCCTTTGACACTGCTGCCCACAGCATTATTCTGGAAAAGCTGGCAGCCCCTGGCTTGGTCAGGTTCACTCTTCACTGGGTTAAAACTGGCTGGGCCCAGAGAGTGGTGCTGAATGGTGGTGCACCCAGCTGGTGACCAGTCACTAGTGGGGCTCCTCAGGGCTCGGGCCAGTCCTCTTTACTCTGTATATCAATGTCTGGATCAGGGGATTAAAGGCATCCTCAGTAAATTCACTGATGACACCAAGTTGGGTGGGAGTGTGGATCTGCTGGAGGACAGGAGGGCTCTGCAGAGGGATCTGGACTGGCTGGATCCATAGGTTGAGGCAAATTGCGTGAAGCTCAATGAGGCCAGGTACCAGGTCCTGCAGTTGCATTGCAACAACCCCAGGCAGTGCTACAAGCTGGGGGAAGAGTGTCTGGAAAACTACCCAGAAGGAAAAGACCTGGGGGTACTGGTCAACAGCAGCTGAACATGAGCCAGTGTGTGTGCCCAGCAGGACCAGGACAGAGATTGTCCACCTGTACTCGGCACTGGTGAGGTCACACCTTAAGTTCTGAGTTCAAAACTGTTTTCAGTTTTGGGCCACTCATGACAGGAAAGACATTGAGGTGCTGGAGCCTGTCCGGAGAAGGACAACAGAGCTGGTGAAGAGTCTGGAGCACAAGTCTGATGAGGAAAAGCTAAGGGAGCTGGGGGTGTTCAGCCTGGAGAAAAGGAGACTCAGGGGGACCTTATCACTCTCCACAACTGCCTGAAAGGAGGCTGTAGAGCAGTGGGGGATGCCTTCTCCTAGACAACAAATACCAGGACAAAAGGCATAGCCACAAGCTGTGCCAATGAAAGTTCAGATTGGACATCATGAAGAATTTCTTCCCTAAAAGGGTTGTCAAGCATTGGAACAGACTATCCAGGGAGGTTTGGAGTCACTATCCCTAGAGGTGGTCAAGAAACAACTGGATGCTGCAGTCAGTGGTCTCGTTCATAAGGTGGTGTTTGGTCACAGGCTGGACTCAAATGGTCTTGGAGGAGTCTTTTAACCTAAATTATTCTGTGATTATTACATGGGCCTGTTATCCCGACAGGCAGTGGCGAGACAATGAGCTCTGTGTTGGACAACAGCCTCACCAACATCCAGTGGCTGGGGAAGATGAGATCTGATGGGCTAAATCCCTCTTCTGTGAAGGAAGACACAGAGAAAGAGAATCAGATGCCTCTGCAGGAAAGTGTCAAGGTGAGTAGGAGAATACAAGAGTATGTGCTAAAATTTTTGATAAGTAATTTACGTGGATCATAATACTTGGAAGAATTAGGCATCGCTATCTCTAAGTAACTCAAGTTTGACCTTTACTGACCTTATTATAGCAACAGCAGAAGCCAGAGGACCCAGGGATGTTCCATGGGCCTTTTTCTCAGCTTCATGAACATTCTTGTATCGCCCCTTCTGTCTTTCAGACTGAAGAGGAAGCTGCTGCTGCTGCTATTCCTACTGCTGCTGAGTCCTCTTCATGGCAGGATTCGGTGTCAGAACGACCTCCTTACTCCTACATGGCCATGATCCAGTTTGCCATCAACAGCACAGAGAAGAAGCGCATGACGCTGAAGGACATCTATACCTGGATTGAGGATCATTTCCCTTATTTTAAACATGTAGCTAAGCCAGGTTGGAAGGTAACAAGCAGGCCCTCAAGTTGCTGTGGGTGATGCTACATTCCTTCTGGATCAAAATGAAAAGTTATTCCCCAGCCTGCAAAGCAAGATGGAAACTCATTTAAACATTCTACCCTCAATACACTCTCACTCCAGATGTTCACTGTACCACTTCTTTTATCTCTTGTCTTATCCTTCTTAAACAAGACGATGGGATGTTTGATCACTGGAGTGAGAATAAGGATCTTAAGAGTACATAGAATAAGAGGCTGATGACAGGGTTGGCTGGGTACACTGTGAACATGAAAGTTTGATGTTGTCTGCACTTTGGAATGTAATCCCTCTGCTAGGGCAGCTATTTTGAGGTAGGCCTTGCTGTGCTGATAACAAAACTACTGTTTTCAACCTCCCCCTCACTCCTTTCTCCTCAGAACTCCATCCGGCACAACCTGTCCCTTCATGATATGTTTGTCCGTGAGACATCTGCCAATGGTAAAATCTCCTTCTGGACTATTCACCCTGATGCAAACCGTTGCCTAACATTGGACCAGGTATTTAAGGTGAGTTGTCTCATGCAAAGGAAATAGGACAGGCTATCCAGTTTCTAAATGCCACACTAGCCTGATGCACCTTATTTTAACTGTAAGGTTAAGCTGCTTTGACATCAGCCTCTTTGTAGAAGCTGGATTCAGTCACTTCACTTGACAAATAGACAAGCTCTGCATTTGAAAGAAAAGGTGCTGTGGCTCTGCTTTTGATCTGGAGCTTCTGTGAGATGTGTGTATTCTTCACATGTTGTGCCAAATATAATAGTCAAGTTGTTCAACTTCTTTCAACTTCTTTCCATGGGCCTGATTTAAATTCCTAATGAGAAGATTTCCGCTGAGGCCAACCAGGTGTTCCTATGCTGCTTGATAAGTCAGTCATAGGATAGAATTGTCCTAGCCCAAACAGGTATTTTTGGAAGATTTTGTTAGGGAAATAGAGCATGGGAGTCTTGTATAGGTGTGTTTAGACTCTTGTGTTTTCTGCAGTGGGTGGGTAGAATTAACTTTTGCTTGCTCAGATTGTACAAGTTTAAAATGTCCCATTTGTCTCCCTCTTTGGTTGATAACTTCATCTTGAATTTTTTTTCTGCTCAATGCCTTCTGCCACCAGCCGTTGGACTTGGGGTCACCAACATCGCCTGAGTATTCTGAATCAGTAAGAATTACCATCTGGCTCGGGGCTTGATCTTCCATTCTCTTCTTGCCAGTCACTGAAGGAAAGGACAACAGGCTTGGGGAGGGGGACTGGGTCACTGCTGCATCTATTCATACAGCTCCATGCTTACCCTTTGCAGGGAGAGGGGTGTACCCAATGTTTGACTGCCTTCTGATGGTACAGTCTCTTGAGCTGGTAAAGCTGGGCAGCTTTGAGCAACTTGGAAGTCTACTGCTGAAGTAGGCTGCAGTGGACACCAATAGGCTTCAGAGAACAAGCCCAAACAGATTTCTGGTAAAATCATCTCCATGGCAACAGTTCCAATATGTTCTGGGGCTCAGTGCAGAGAGAATAGGATCTCTCTGTGCTTCTTTTTCATTTTGGAACCCACTGCATTGTGAGTGACTCTTGGAAAGATTAACCTGTTTGCTGTTGCTCTCGCATTCAGCTGTTTTAGCAGTGAAGAATTTGTAAGCATCCAGTCAAACACTTTTCTGTCACAGCTACAACCTTGGCCTTCTTTCCATCTGCTCAGAATTCTGATCCCATTGCCTCTGGTGTTCCATTTGAACACCTATCTGGTCCATGGTTTGTATAGACATCCAATATACAGTAAAGCCATCTTATTCTTATTCAGTAAAGCCATCTTATTCCTCGGGCACTGAGGGTGCCAAAACCAGCTCACTTCTGCAGTAGAGTCTGCAGTTGGAGCAGCTCTGTCATGTTGTCTCTTTTCCTACACAGCTTTTGGTGGGCAGCTGGCTTTGGGGTGGCATCGCTGCAAACCAGCAAGTGGCACAGACCTAGAGCCAGCCTGAGTGCTGGGTGCTAACAGCTGCTCTCTTTGCATTAGTCCAGCACAGACCTCTGGTTTCACAATTCTCAGTGAGGCAGTGGAATAAATGTGGATTCTTTTCTTTTAATCGCTCTCTTTTCTCCTTCTCCTTCTTACTTATCTCACAATGACTGCAGCAACAAAAGAATCGTCTCCCAGATCCTCTGAAGAACATGGGAATCAAAACTGAACCCCAGAATTCACGTAAGTGTCCCCAGCAGTCTAGGCCAAAAAGAATCAATCCAATAAGCCTGGGGCATTCTCCCAGATTTCTTCAGGAATACAAGTGCAGTGTGTTATCCCTGTTTGCCAGCTTTTATGTTCCTTACTGTCAGGTTTGAAATGGAAAGCAGTATTGTTGTGTCAGAGGGGATGTGCTGGTGAGATGGTGGGCATTAGGCACTCAAATGGGGTGAGAGCCCAAACTTGAAGAGTAGGATCTGCATGAAAGGTTATTTTCTTGTTCATGAGGCTTCTGGCTTGGTATTTGTATCCTTAAAATTAGCAGAGAAGGCAAGTGACCTGATCAAATGTTTCTTTTGGGATATCTAGAAGGACTTCCTGTAAGGTGCCTGGGTTTCAAGAGGTAGCAGTGGAGAACAGGCAAAAGTGAGTCCCTTCTTTTCCCTTCCAGGCCGAAAGATGAAGCCTTTGCTTCCTCGTGTCAACTCCTACCTGGTTCCAATCCAGTTTCCTTTGAGTCAGCCTCTTGTCTTGCAGCCTTCTGTGAAGGTTCCTCTGTCCATGGCACAGGGAGCATCCCTTAGCAGCTCAGAGACTTTGCAGAGCAATAAGCGCGTGTGCATTGCTCCAAAGGTTGGTTTCTTGTTTTCCAAGGAGTTTTCAGGGGGGTTGGTGTGGGGGTTTTTTCCTGGTTTTTTTCCCTATTTTTTTTTCTTTTTTTTATAAGGGGGGCGAGGAGGGCTCTGAGAAGGGTATGGGGATTTTTTTTTTAAGGAGGGGTGTGTTTGTTTGGATGTATTGTTTACTTTTGTTTCTATCTCTTGCCTTCAATGAACCTTCTCTTCATATGGCTCCTTTGCACGTCTTTACTTGGGTGCTCTAAAACTCCAAGCTCCTATCAAGGAACTAGCTAGTGATAATCCTTGCCATCCTTTACTGTCTCTAGGCTGACTACTACCTGCTAGTTTATTTGCTCTAAGGATGTTTCTATATTTCACTAGAGGAAGGGGCTCGATGGCTTGATCATGAAAATTTTTCTTTACTGCTGGGATGTGAAGAAAGAAGAATGGGAGGAATGGCTTTATTCTTATTTTTGATAGCTCTTTAGACAAGTAACAATAAGGAACTTCTGAAAGGGAATATATTTCATGTATTCTCTTCCCAGAGGATTTCCGTATCTGCTGTTTGCTAATTCTGTGAAGTTCACAGTTATTCTGGGCTCAAGAAAAACAGCTATTAAACAGCTCTTTTTCTTGGCATCTCACTGACTGCTCTTGTATGCTTAGACATTGTAAAGCTTCAGCTTCTTCCATCCTGTCTAACCATAATCCTATTTCCTTTGTATGCCTGCTGCTTTATGTTCTCTCCAGCTATGATTTATCTTTCTCCTGTGCTCTTTTTCTTTTGATAACCTCATTTTTTTTTCTCTCCCTTTTCCTTGGTTTCTGAGAAAGCTGTCCTCATTCACTTTGTTATTCCCATTTAGATAATGTAAGAAAAAATCAAAGGGGTTATATTTTTTCCAGAAATATTCAGCTCTCCTTCTGCCTGTACTCTCAGAAGTTCTTCAGAGCAGGAGTGCTCTGAAGGGGTATGACTTTGTCACTTAGCTAGAATCCTTGCCATGTGATCCTTAGGCTTCTTTCTATCAGCTTCACAGAGATCAATCTCCGTCTGTTATAATTACTGCTTCCTGAATATCTTCCTCTTACCCTCTCTGCTGACCTTAAATGCCTTTCTTTTCTTTCCACTGTTATTTGGATTTTTGGGTAGCTTAGATCCTTGCTTACTGACTGCATGTCACCTGTGTTTCACTGTAGATGTCACTGTCTGCAGAAGAGTCGCCCTCTTTACCCACAGCTGCTGTCAAGGAGGAGGGCCAATGTGATGCAGGTCTATTTTCCCCAGCCCACTCCATACAGAGCAGCTCCCAGCCTGGTGAGGAATTGTCTTCTTTCCCGGAGGGTGCCTGTGTAAAGGAGGAAGAAGGCTCTCAGCTGGATCCCTGGCTGTCCCCATTTGCCTCAACCGTAACGGTCAAGGAAGAGCCAAGCTTGTTCCTCCCAGACTCATCCACAAAGGAGAGGAAACAGTTCACCACACTGAAGTCCCCATCTAAAGCAGTTTCTGACTCTTTAGTTATAAAGAGGAGGGAAAAGCGGGAAGTGGGTAGATCCAGAAGGAAACAACGCCTGGCACTGCCTTGTTCAGAAGAGCCCGTCCTTGTTCTGCCAGAAAGCAGCAGCTTTGACCCTTTCCAGTTAGGGGCAGACCGTCCCTTCCCGCAGGAAAACCAGCCCCTTGAGAATATATCACAGCTCAGCTGCTCGCAGGGAGAAGAGGGGGCCTTTAAAACACCAGTCAAAGACATCTTCAGCAAATTGCCCGTTTCTTCCACTCCCAGCAAAGTTTCAGCCACTACTACCCCTTCACTAGAGGTCCTTGACCCCTGGAAATCTGCTTCCTTAGCCAAAGGAAGTCATGAGCTGGACTTCAGTCCAGTGAAAACCCTTCAGTTGCCATTCACACCCCTTCAGGACAACCAGGACTTGCTGGGTTTTAACAGCACACCTCTTAAAAATCCTCTCTTTGATTCTCCTCGAGAACTGCTCAATACAGAATCCAGTGATATGGTCCTTGTGCCACTCACAAGCTCTCCAGCGTTTATTCGTGACACTTCCAAGCAATCCTCTGTTGAACTGACAGTTTCTGGCTTTACTGAAAACCGGTCACTCATGGAGGGCCTTATCCTGGACACCATGAATGACAGTCTCAGTAAAATCCTTCTAGATATCAGCTTTCCTGGTCTTGAGGATGAAAATTTAGGAACAGACATTAGTTGGTCTCAGCTCATACCTGAACTGAAGTGAACTGGCATGAGGAATGAATTTGACTATTTCTGATATTACAGAAAGAACTCCACTCTTCTGAGATTCATTCATGTAATCTAAGACAACTGCTTTTGACTAGTTCCCACATCCATGGGAGCAGAGAGCATTATTGACTCCTGCTAAGCTGGGAGACAGCCCCATCAGCTGCTATGGGCTTCCTTTTAAGATGCTGTAGACTTTGAGTGGAACAAGATGATAGAATTTCTCTAGCCTTGTGCTAGAGATAACCTCTCTCCAGGGATTCTTCTCATGAGAACATCTAGGTAGGCCCTGAATGGCATTTGCTATTCAAGGTATCAGAGGAAACAATAGTACAATAGGAAAGAGCCCGGGAATCTCCTCCTAGCTCTATCCTAATATCCCTTTACTTTGTATCCCCTATTACTTAGTATCTTCTGTCTACTTTTAATGACTGTAAATACTGTACATTCCTTAAATTAGCCCTTAATTATTATTATAATTTTATTATTGTAGGGTTATGGGAATATTTGGCTTGGTAAGGGTTTGACCTAGAGTATGTTGTCCATATGTTCACATCTCTTGTATTCTTCTACCCTAGCTGAAAGCCCAATTTTATTTTTTTTACTTCAAAAACACATTGGTAGAGGTTGTTCTAAAGGTTGCTGGGACAAAGATCTGAAAAATTGTTTATATGTGATCCAAGTCAAACTGAAACAGGTTATCTGGATTGCAGCATAAAATCTTGGTTTGGCTTCCTTTTCCCAGGCTGGAATGGAGAAGAGCTTGGATTAAGCCATATAGCTCTTCTGATTCCAGAGGTCTATTACGTACCTAGAGGACTGGGTAGAGACACTTGCAGTAAGATGGACCTCTGTTGAATGGTTAAAGCTGCCCTCATTACAGTCAGCAGTTCAAAATGTAAAAGGGAATATAAAATATATTATATTCCCTTTAAATATAAAGGGAATGCTGATATTTCCACTGAAAATTGACTTCTGCAAACACAAGGTATGTATCGCTTTGTGCAATAGAAAAACCTCCTCCTAGTTCTCTAGAACTTAAGTCATGGAAGAAATTGTCATGGCAAAGACCTGATCCTTCTGCTTGCAGACAAGTGGTGACTCCTGTATCCAAATACTCAATAAAGCTTCTGTGGGAACACAGCTGAGTGTTATCTGTACCACCCCTAGCAGCCTGCTGAGATTGGCCCATAGCACGAGCGACCCCTTCTTCTTATCTCATGTCTGTGTGCTTTGTGATCACTGAGTGAGTGACCATTAGGACATTTTCAGGCTTGTTCCAAACCATATTAGATTTAGTTAACCCACTGCTTCATAAAACACACTTTTTCCTGCTGCTTATGGGTCAATCCTGAGTCAGGATTTCTGACTGAGTCAGAAGCATACAAACATCAACACCACCAGCAGACAAATTTCTGTATCTCCTAAATGCAAAACAAATATTGCCTGAAACTATTTCTACCTTCTCCTATAAACATAAAACCAGTTATAGATGTGTGTGGTTTTCAGAACTGCAGTGCTTCTGTGTACTTGTTAGAGGTTATTTGCCCTCATAAAATGTTTCCAAACTTTGGTTTAATGGTTATTATTTCAGTTTTTCTGGGGTTACACAGCTGCAGAAGAGGCCTGGTTTTGCACACTTTCTACTAGTGCATCTTACACAGCTGTTAACACTGCTGGGCTCTTTCAAGGCATCATCTCTCCCTTTCATCTCACTTCTTGCTCCTGCGAGGATGTGTGCACATAACTGACACCTGAGAGCCAGCTAAATAAGATCATGTCTCCAGCAAATACTGAAATTGTCTTTGGTGTCAGTTCCAGGGAGGTGCTCCCCTGCTGTCCCTGTCAGCTGAGGCGTTTTGATGGCCACCTCACATTTTATTTTGAACATAGTAGTGCCAAAGTTGCGTTTCCCTTCTTGTTACATATTCCAGTGAGAGCACTGCTCAAGGGCAATTATATCAAAAAAGGTGGAGGGAACAGCAGAAAAAATTACAATAAGCAATTCTACCTCTTGCCAGAAGAGATGTTCCAGTGTTTTGGCCAAAGTAGTTCAAAGCACCAGTTGGTGAGGACTTATTCACAAAATATGACTATTTCTCTCCATTTATATTTGCCTGATATTCTGCCTGGATGCTTTCCTTAAGGAAAGGCAGTTATCACCCCTGCAGTTCTGTCCCTCTGCAGGCTCAGAATTAGGGCTATAGTGTAGAGGTGTGATCTTGTCAGACAGTGGATGCTTCTGTCCACCCTCCTGCAGTAAGAGCAGGGCCATACTTCATGTCTTCTCCTCAACCCAAGAGCAGGAAGGCACAGCTCTTCACACCCTTTGCACAGCACTCCCAGGACTTCTCTGAGTAACGTGTAGGAGCATCCCAGAATTGTCCTTGCATTCTGATAATAGACAAAGCTCATTAACACCTTCCAGCCTGTAAAAGCAAACATTAGTTTAAGATAAAAAATTTAAGGGATCTGGGACAGGCAAATCTACAGGGGGCCAGCAAGTACTGTGGATGCTCTGCTCCTCGGACAACTCTGCTCCATACCTGGAGTGTGACAGACACAAAGGAGAATTCCCTTTCATTGGTTGAGTGGGGTTCCTCCCACTGTTTTGTCAGCTGAAAAGGACTGGATGCCCCCTGAGATGAGGTAAGCAAGGACAATTGCCACCCTTTTACTTTTGCAACTTGGCTGGTAGCAGAAAAACTTGATCACTTCCCCATATGGAAGAAAAGAGACCCTGTTTTACATTGCAGAAATCTTTTTATGAGGATGCCAGGCCTTCATTTCTCCCAGAAGGCAGTTTAGCTTTTAATAAAGGTGAAGATTTCTTTTTTAGTAAGACCATGAATCTGAGCTGCTGATGCAGGTCAAATGACACATTTGTCCTTGTGTTTCAGTTGCAACATTTCTTGGAAAAATAAGTATAATAAATACCCAGTTACAGTTTATAGGCAAAAGATTATGCAAAGCAGATTCTCTTCCACATCTCAAAATCTGTGGGAAGTCATTATATAGAGCACACTGATGAACTGTTTGCATACAAATATATAATCAGAATTATTTATCCTCCACATCTGCCTTTTTTTTTTTTTAATGCACCAAATTTAAAACCAGAAACATCTAATGATGTTATTTAATAAAATCAAGGAAAACAGCACAAATTATTGAGATACAGTCAGACACGAATTTATGCTCCAGTGTCTGCTCTTGGTCTCTATTACCTTCTCATGCATGTAAAGGAAGTTGCTGCCAACAGGGCCTCTGTTTATTTAGCTGTGTAATTTGTAGAAGGTAGGTTTTCTGCACTCATCTGTGGTTACAAACAGGAGATTGGCTGATTAGAACCCAGATTGTTTAATGGATGGAAAATTTTCCAACAGGACAAAAAAAACTCATCTTCACTGGACTTGGGAAGAATCTCTTAATATTGTTGATATTTTCTATAGAACACTGTTTTTCACTACCAATATGGTACCTTTTTTGGTGCATTGTATTCTTTCACATTTGATGTATTTTTCTGTAAATTTTAATAAAGACAAAGTTTTGGATACTATCATTATGCAACAGGCTAGACCACTCCATCTCAACTTTATACTTTCTCATGAAGCAACATGTTTAGATTACTTACATGTTTTAGGGTTTTTTATTTTGAATTCTGAGATTGCATGTTTGTCTATGCACAAAGCTATTTTGCATTCTGGAATGGTGTTTCAGCTGAAATTTCTATTGTGGATAATGCGTGTATATTGCAAAGCCTGAAACACTTGATTTAAGAGTATTTATATGAGTCTGCTGGTCTAATCTGTCCTGAGTTATCAGCATGTATTTCCCACTTTAAGCTTTCACTTTAGGAAAGCTTCTGTTCGAAGCAGTTTTGCCTTCTCTCATGGTAGCCTTAAAGTTTTGGACAATTTGATATATTTAGTATCCAGTCCAACCCCTCCATGAGGGGAACAAAGGTCAGGAATGCAGCAGAACTGGCACCATAAAGCACATCCCTTGGAACTTGCGGGATTACTGAAGATGCCTTCAGCATCAGTATGGATTTCCAAGTATTTGCAAGTAATGATGTCAGTGACACAGAATGGTCTGATCTGAGGAGCTCCATGCTGTGGCTAATTAGTTCCTGCCAGTCTGCACTCTGCTATGCATTCCCAAGGGACTGGCATGCTACAGTGATAAGAGCTGTTTTGCTGTTTCCCATGGCTGACTCTCAGGTTTTATTTATTTGCTGTTTTTATTAAAATCTTGAAGTCAGGAGACCATGAGATAACTTCAGCTGCCATTTAAATCATGCCAAGGCCTAACCATCAAGAATGTAACAAACAGCTGGTGCACATAACAAATGCAGCCCAAAGGCTAGGAAACCAAAGGAGTCCAGTACTTAAAATCAAAAATAATTTACATTGTTACAGCAACTTTGTTATCCATCAAATCCCTGGGGTGATAATGCATCCCTCTGCCACTGTATGTGCATTGTGTACACAAAGCAGCTTCTGCACTACAAGTACTATTGTGCTGGTGATTCCATCATAAAATCCTGAATTGTCTGAGCAGAAAATAGCCATACTGAATATCAGCCTTGGATAGAGTTGTTCTGCTGGGAAGAGAAGGGGCAGGGAACACAGGGAATGCAGTTCAAGCAGCCCAATTGCTTCTATAAATAAGAGCACAAGAATGTTTTGCTCAGATTAAAAAAACCTTTTGTAGCAAACCTTTTCTTGAAAAGTCCTAACACCTCCTTGCTTTGTAAGGATTTTTGTCAGGTTGTCCTTCTTGGCTTTGGTGTTTCCCTTTATATGAGCTGAGTGAAAATTTTCCAGTTTTTGGCTGTTAGAAAAATTTTTTAAAAATCTATTTCTCATCCTTAGCAGAGGCAGCTGGCAACTAAAATCCGAGAAGAGATTTATTCAGAACAGAGTGTGTCCCAGCACAGACTTGCTGGAGTGTATGGAGATTTCTTCCTGAACTTGTTCTTTGTGACTTCCAGCAGAG